AAATTACAAAAAAACAAAACCAAAAAACCCCTTCAAGTTTAGCAATGCAAAAGTACAGCCAACTACTCCAAAGTAAACATAACCAAGAAAGGATTTCGTCTCACTAAGTATTCCCACTGTTTCTGTTGTCACACATAGGGAAGCTTGGAATTATCTGTGACCAAGGTCTCCCTTCTAGCCCTCCCACTTCTCATGTTGCTAACCCCTGCAGATTATCTTCTAAACATCACATGAAGCTGTGAATCTTTCTTTTGGCACAGCAGTAATCCTGGGCCAAAGGCAGGCAATCTCCTGTCTTGATTTCTTCCATGCTGCCAGTGCAGCTCTTCCAAATTTCTTTCCCCAATTTGCTTTGCTTGGCTATTCATATCTTTCTCCTCTTGCTTGGCTGGCTTTCTACCCACTTGTGCTATCTCATTAATACAATGTAGATATTACTTCACAGGCTAATGCTATCACTGGTCTTGCTGTCTCATGCTATCAAATCATCTTATTTCCCCAATTATTCCTTGACTTCCTATTCCTTCCCGTTATCTCTCACTCTTCTTACCACTATTCCTTCTTCTCTTGCCCTTTCTAAATACTATACTTTTCCTCTTCTATCCCCTACTTTTTGGAAATCTCTTCCCCATTGTCATCTTCAAGCCCATCTCGAAGCCTTTCTCCCTTCCTATTGTTTAATGCTGCTTCTAATGATCTGATGTCTCCCTTTTCTTCTTCTTGTAACTCTAATAATTTGTTCTCATGCAGTACCACTAGTGGTTGGTTTGTTTGGGTTTATTATTCTTACCCAGCACTTTGGATAAAAGACACTATATAGTAAAATGGGAAGACAATGTGAGACAGGCTACTGCTTAAAGCCCTTAAGATACCTGGGGAAATGAAAGCACTGGGAAGTTAGATCTCACCAGATCCTAATTTAAAAAAAACAAAAACCTGAAGTCCCCAGAACATCCCAAAAGACACACAAAGGAATCCTGAGCAGGATCTATCAGAGGGACATCTTGAATAAAATCCCCTACTTAAGGATCTTCCTTGCAAGTCCATCAGTGGTGTTTATTTTTGGCCATAAAGACTCCATCCCATCATTATACTTCCTCCCCCCCCCCACCCATATTAGTACAAGGAAGTCCAATATGACAAGCCTTATCTGTTCCACTGGCCTCTGAGCTTAGGGACAAAAATGAATCGGGGTCACTAACCCTTCTTTAGGTCAGGTGCCAGTTCATTTCTAGATGTGTTTGCATCCAGACCCTCGCCAGCAATATCCTGTCTTCTAATTTAGGAGGCAGCGGATGACTGTACTTTTTTTTTTTGGCGCATTCCAATTAGCTCCCCCTCTGCTCCCCGCTATATTGGTAATTCAGCTCCATGCACTTGTTAAGACTGGGCTAAAATCCCTGTCTCCCAAAGAGACAAACTGTCGTTGCTTGCGCTGATGTCTGCTATGTGATTAAGTGCAAGTGAATGTGTTAAGGCTGGATTACATCTGCAGCCAGCCCGACTCCATTTATGCCATTTAGATTCCACACCTCACTCCCACATTAGCTGCACGTCTTTCCCCGACACACAGCTCACCTTTTCCTGCCATTTAAAGTTCTCTGTCACACATGTCTTTCTATCCACTGCTTGGCTTCCCGCATTTCAGTCTGTACAACCTCCATTTTAATTTCCCCATTTACTCCGTATTCCCCATTCCCTTCTGTTTTCTTCAGATTATTCTGTCCCTTCCACATTAAATTCTCTTCCATACAGATAGTTGTTCATCCCTTTCCAAAGGCTGATGATTTCATAGTGAAAATGTTGCCTCAAGTGTGCCATATAATAATCTCCTGAATCTCTTACATAGGGTGCAGCAGTATAATAGGAGTTTGTACAGCACCTAGCATGTTGCGACCCCGATCCTGACCGGAAACCTCTAAGCGTTATTGATTATATAAACACACTATCTAAGAAAAAATCAGATCTAGTGGGTTGCTATTATTTTGTAGCATGCCTAGCTCAGTTTGGATCATCACACACTAAAGAAAGCCAGCCAAGTGTCCAGTCAGTGTTACATACAAACAAAAAGGAATGCAAGCCTTCCTCCAACAGACATGGTTTTAATTTTCAGGGAAAGGAGTGAATCATTTTGATCTGGCATGTTGTCTTTATACATGAGTTGGGTGATCCTCCTTCTGCTCTGTCTGAACCCCATACTGCGAGCTCTTTGTCTGTAAGCGCCATCCTGCCCTTTCTGCACAGAGCAGTAACTGGCAAATGGCTCTTGTATTACACACGAGTGAGCTACCTGCCAAAGTAAAATATCTTGCAATCACTTCAGACCCTCTAGTTCAGCTACCGACTGAGCCAAGTGGCTAGTGGCTATTGGCACTGTCGGACGCATTCACAATCGACAGCAACGTTATACTGAAGACAGATCCAAGCAGGCTGCATGCGAAAACAAAGAACCAAGCGAGATGAGTGCTTCTTGTCTATAATCTTGGGTGTGGGGGCTGGGAGGAGACAGCTTGAGCCGTGTACAATATATAGCCCAGAATTTCCCAGCTCACTCCCCTCTAACATTTACGGTCTCTGTTTTGGAGGCAGTTTGACTCTCTCCTTGTGTTAGATTCACTAGCTTTGTTGTTCAGAGTGATCAGATTTAAGCTCTTGTTCATACTACACATGCAGTCATGCAAAGAGATCCTGTTACAATGCACCGAAGGTTCAAACCATGCCCAGGCTTTCACACTGCTCTTAAAATGAGGTGAGGTGTCCCATCGCGATGGCACAACGGAACCGTGCTTTAAAACTGTTCCTGGGGATAGCCATGATGTAACTGAGTCCATCACAAGGGCTGTATCTGTAGCACAGGCAGGACCTTCATGGAGAAAGTTCCACAGCTAGGTATTCTTCATGCTTTCAGAACCACCTCTGTCATCGGCCTTTCTCTATGAAAGCCCAGTAGGACCTCTTCCAAAAGCCAAGAAATAATCTGTGATCTTATTCTGATATCTTTGTTTACACCAATTGGCACTTCAGTCCATGAGTAAACCCACTGAAGCCAATGGGACTATTTGTGGGCTAGGACCTCTATTCAGCACAGGTAAAGGTATCAGAAAAAGGCTCTCCAGATTCAGGGTCATATGAGAAACACGTCTCCCCACCTATAAACTATAAAACATTTGAAATACAGATGGGCTAAGGCAATGATGTTAAGATTTTGGTTGGCTACAGGTTGGAGTTCAGGCTTAATGTTGAACCAGGCTGAGGGAAGCATCAAAAACATGGTGGGCTGTTCTTGCAAGATTTTGACTCCAAACAGTGGAATTTTCACAAGATCGGTAGCTTTTGCAAACCCCCTCCTCCCCATCCCCCACAATCTTAAATAATGAACATTTCATGAGGGCAGCCCTTGTGAAATGTGTCACATTCTCTGCTAACCTGTGTGACATCTGAAGTGGATCCAGAAAATAGGTCACTTCTGGTTTTAGAGCAGAAGCTACAGTGGCGTTGGCTCCGGAGAGATCAGGGTTTCAAATCTGAAACACACCTGCTCAACTTTCGTGGTTCTGGTGTGGGCACTCTCTCCAGTTTAAGCGTTTTGACCGATATATGTAGTCTGACAGTGTCTATCATACTGCAAAGTATTCTCAAAATGGAGCCTAATGCCAGAGGCGGTAAAACATTTATCCTCTGCTCAAGTGGAGATTGGCTAGGTCACAAGTGAGGTTACTTTTGGCAAGATGGCTCCCACCACTGGGAGCATTTAGAATGACCATATTCATGATAAAAAACAATTCCATTTTTACATTACGATTTATGTTTTACACCATGAAACTTCTTTAATGCTGTTGGGAGCGAGAGGGATGCAGCTCTCTTAACAATCCACAGATTTGTTTGATTTACTGCACTGGTCCTACGTGCTGTTTTCACCTTGCAGGATCAACCTAGCGTCTAGGAATCCGCTTGTATGACAAGATCGTGAATTAAATGTGTAGTTCTCATAAGAGACCACACATTTTAATGTAAAATTGAAGAAACTGATTACAGCAATCCCTCTGGAAACGAGAATAATCACATGATAAGATAGCGCTAATGGGAATTTATCATCCCCATCACATGTGAAGCTTAGAACAAAGCAGTGACACTAGACAGTAACAACTGTGAAATCGACAATGAACATTCCAACCAAAAAGCTTCTGGGGACTATAAACAGATGACAGGGGATTGGGGGTTCTGAATCGCCAAATCTAAGGCAATTTGGTATGCTGAAAGTAGCTTAGAGAATGAAACTCACACACACCATTATTAAATATTACCCAAAACAACCACCTAATCTCCCTCTTTACAGCCTAATCTCCTGTCCCCTTCTCCCCATACCCACACACACAGAGCTGAGATAGATTCACCAGTACATTCTGGCTGCTTTGCATCACTAGAGCAGCCAAACAGAGCCAGAATTTATGAGTGTATCTAGCCAGTTTTCTTTCTTCTCTCTCTCTCTCACTCACACACACACACACACACACACACACACACACACACACACACACACACACAAAATATATATTTCAGATTTAGAATACAATCTTTTGATTTTTTTTTTACAGTTACCTACAATATTTTCCATTTCAACCAAATAAGACTTGACTAAAATTAAAATTTTAAAAGGCACCTGTGGGAATGAGGCATCCAAATCCCATATTTCAGTAACAACCATTTGAATGGGAATTGGGCATCCCATTCCCTTAGGCAACCTGCATTGATTCTGCACCAAAACCCAGTAAGCAGATCTCTGTGACACATAAGACAACAACAGGTAAATCATGAATTCCCCCTTCCCTTCAGACACAGATGCAGGCCTACAACATTTTTCCACCTCGGTCCCCATTTCATAGCTAGAGGCTTTGACTTTTAGGAAGAGAGGAAGCCTTTATAAAAAGAGAAATAAAAGGAGACCGTAATGGCTAGGTGGCAGGAGAACAAGGAGAGAGAGAGGCATCCTACACCAGTACCTGTGTGAGTCCTCTGATGAGCCTTTAAGTGGGAGCTCTTTGTATAAACCTTCCGGCACCCATTGAACTGACAGCGATGAACCCTCTTCTTGTTTTCCGGGGATGCCTCGGCCCCTGCCCCTCCTTGCTCGCTGTCATTCTGCCCGCTCTTTATCGTGCCTCCTGCTGCCACCGCCGCCACTCCCACCTTGACTGAGGTGAGCGACGCCTTCTTGGCCACCAATTTCAACGTCACCGTGCCGTCCACTGCGGCGAGAGTTTGTGGGGTTTTTACCAGATGGCGGCTGAGCTCAGGAGAGGAAGGGGGCGTTAATGAGGTCACTGCGTTGAGTTGAGCCTGGTTGACAGCGGCGTAACCCTCTATGGAAGAGCCGGTGGGCTGCAAGCTGAGGCAGGTCTCAGACAGCAGCTTGTCCCGTGAGAGGATAAGGTCCATGTTGGTGCTTTTGTCGCATGTACTCGTCTCTACTGGCAACAGGATGGGGTCCAGCCGTCGGATACTGTCCTCTGAGCCTGGAGGAGAGGAGGTGTGAAGGAAACAGTCCAAATCCTCACCAAAGTTCTCTGAGATCTTCCTTGGCTCTGTCTGAAGATAACGTTCCAACTCAAGGCATGTCTGCAGGGGAGACGGGGAGGGAGGGAAAGAAACCATCATTAGAAACCCATCTCAGCATTAATCCCCAGCTGGAACAGGAGGCGAGGCGTGGTAATCTCTCTGTGTCCAGAACAGTTCAGAGATAGCATTTATACACACCAAAGGAGTCATGCAGAAAGAAACATGATAGGAGTAGGTTTATGGTACAGACCAGCTTTGGAACTATGTTGTGATGCATGTGATAAACTGCAGAGCCATAGGAAAAGTGTCCAATGCACTTTTTGATCGCCTCACCTGCACTCTGCCCACTGATCTGTCTCCACATGGAATTATTCTAACAAGCCAAAGCTCTGAGCAGCTTCAGATAGCCATCAGTTTTTTAAAAAGTAACATTTCCAGAGAATTGTTTATTCTTTCTCTACACAAATGTGGGATTTCACCCCCAAAATTACCCCAGTCCAAAGCATTGCTCAGCTAGGACCCAGTCTGATCCTAAAAGTGGCACAGTTTTGAAGTCCACTATCTTGAAAACTCTGCAGGGCTAGAAGCAGGTGACTAGAAGAGAGAGATTCCCAATGGGACCCAACATTTGCTGTTCAACCCTGGAAGGTCCTGACCCAATGGAAGATGTGACACGTAGGCACAGAAAAGCAACTTTGGGTCATTTTTAGAGGTTTTTCTGACTCCCTGTACAGTGGCGCACACCTGGCTTTTACTTAAACACACACACACACACTACTTACAAAAGACTTGATTATGGTGGAGTTAACGTGGCCACCACACAAAGATTGCCACCACCTCTCTGTAACAAACTACGAGCATGGACGCAATGCTGTGGTGCAAAGACTTTCCCAGCCTAAGGTCGCGATGACCACCTGACTTAAAAGTGGCCAAATGAGGGCCAGTAAAGCCTTTCAGCACATCACATCATCAGGTATTCTCCTTATTTTTACAGAAAATAGTTAGAAATAGTTTGGGAAGTTTTACAGAGTTTAATTAGTGCTATTTTTCACACCCCTCAGCCTGAAAAGTCTGGCCGTGTTCGCATCTTGATTCTAAATCTACAAGAGTTGGCATGAGACAAAGCCATCTATCTGATTCATTTTTGAAACCTCTACAAATTATCCCTGAGAGAGTGTTTCCATATTATAGAACCATAGAAGATTAGGATTGGAAGAGACCTCAGGAGGTCATTTAGTCCAACCCCCTGCTCAGAGCACGACCAACACCAACTAAATCACCCCAGCCAGGGCTTTGTCACGCCAGGCCTTAAAAACCTCTAAGGATGGAGATTCCACCACCTACCTAGGTAACTCATTCCAGTGCTTCACCACCCTCCTAGTGAAATAGTGTTTCCTAATATCCAACCTAGACCTCCCACACTGTAACTTGAGACCATTGATCCTTGTTCTGTCATCCACCACCATTGAGAACAGCCGAGCTCCATCCTCTTTGGAAAACCCCCTTCAGGTATAGAATCATAGAATATCAGGGCTGGAAGGGACCTCAGGAGGTCATCTAGTCCAACCCCCTGCTCAAGGCAGGACCAATCCCCAGACAGATTTTTACCCCAGTTCCCTAAATGGCCCCCTCAAGGATTGAACTCACAATCCTGGGTTTAGCAGGCCATGCTCAAACCACTGAGCTATCCCTCCCACCAAAATCTGAAAAGAACCAGAGCATCTGATTAGTGTTTGCTCTCTCTGCTCAGTGGTATTCCATCACCCCAATGCTCAGATACAAGGTGCATTGGGACTACATCCCTCTCCCCTTGCTGTTTTACAGGGTGCTTCTCCTGCCTGAGATGGCAGTGTGCAGAGCACAGTGTTATGGGGCAAAAGGGGTGGGTTAATTAGCCATTATACTCAGGGAACAATCCCCCCTCACTCTTCTGTTCTGCAGACTAAACAAGCCCAGTTCCCTCAGCCTCTCCTCATGTGCCCCAGCCCCCTGATCATTTCCGTGGCCCTCTGCTGGACTCTCTCCAATTTGTCCACATCCTTTCTTACCACAGATGGTAAGGTTGGGCTATTAGGGTGAGATGCCCAATTAAATCTAAGCCTGTAAATCCAGTACCTTTCAACACCTGGGCCAGAAACAAAAGCTTCAAACCATCCGAAACAGGAAGAGAGGTGAGAGATTCTTGGCTTGATGGTATAAAGGTCCCATCAGCAGGGGTATAAAGGGCTCCCACTGATAGTTCTGGGAAGTGTCTGAGTTACTTTTAACCCATCATGGATCTAGGAATGCATATGGCCTATTCCACATGTAATTTTGCGGGAGAAATGTCATGGCTAGGGAAAGGAGGAAAGATTTTGCAGGCAATTCATTTTTAATTTGTTTTTAAATGGTAGCTGTTTGAAGCAGATTAGAGGCCTGAAGTAGAGAGGTGGAGCCATGGGTATAGTGCAGGTCAGGCAGTCAAAACTGCACAATAAGTAGTTAGTAACATAGCGCTGCAGTGTATCACATGGATGTGTGTTATGTGTCACCTTTCTGTGCACAGGGCTGGAGCCAGGAGCTCTGCAGATCAAATCTTAGTTGGTTCTGACCTCTATTCCCCCAGTCTTGAACAAATCGTTTCTCTCTCTGCCTCAGTTTTGCAGCCTATAAAATGGAGGTGTTACTTTGTTATCCACCACTCTGGTGTTCTGAGTAACAGGGTTTGTAAAGCACTTTGAAGAATAAAGTGCTAAGCACTGATTCTCCCAGTTTTGAACACGGTGTGGTCCGCCACTAATAACAGAGGACCAGGATTTTCAGAAGTGACTAATGATTTTGAGACACGTCAGAAAAGCCGGGTGCTCAGTCCTATCTGCAAATTGGGATCCTTGTGTTAAGCTGGGCACCCAAAAACTGAGACACCCCAGAATCACTAGTTGCTTTTGAAAATCTTGGCCTTACTCTGTATTTTGTAGTGGCCGTGTACAATAGGATAGAGGAAGGTTTGAGCCAGTATCTAACACTTTCCCTGCAGCCCCATCAGGGGCTTTGGCACAAGGTAGAGCTTCCATTTTTTAAAATACGAGTTTTCAGCTATCTTATTATTATTATTTGTATTATCATAGTGCCTAGAAGCCTGGTCATGAACCAGGATCCCCTGGTGCTGGGCACTGGCCCAAACAGTTTAGAGTCTAATGGGTCAAAATCACATCTTCCAAAGGGAATCTAATCCAATGCTGTCTTTACAGCCCTGTCTATATTGGGCAAGGTTTACAACAAAATATTTCAATTGGTTTTGGCACCAACAGGACCCTGGCATAATGAGGCTCTCGCAGCTGGATACATTTCTAGTCAACATCCCCATTTAGCAGAACCTGCCTCGAAGAAAGTCTAACAAAAAATGACGATAAAAAGGAGGTTGCCCTCCAGAGCCTTGTCCACTGTCAGGCTCCCACCAGTAGCCCTGACTGGAACTGCTTTGTAATTATGCCTAGTGTAGACACAATCACTGAATCGGCAAATAAACAGAAATGCTGAGCCAGACACTCGGCTGACCCCAATCAGTGTAATTCCACTGCAGTCAATGGATGTGTACTTATCTACATGAGCCAAGGACCTGACCCCAGTGCTGTCTTCTTACTGGGATGCTGATTCTAGTGACTGTTCAGATAGCAATATTGTCAATTGTTTCATTGCTGACTGCAGAGAGGCCTGGCTAATCGTATGTGGAGCTTGAGTAGCGCACACCATGTCCCTGAGCCGAGTCCTGGACCCCGAGTAAACGTCTGATCCCATAGGATTGCTCCAAAAAGAGCACACGCCCTTTTCACAGAGATGATTGTACTTCTGTTGACTTTGGTTGCCACCCGGTATGATGGGAAGGGGGGAGAGGTCAAAAGAAGAGGATAAAGCAGTTATTCATAAAGCTCTCTCAGGCCTTGTCTATAGGAATTAGCACCAATCTGAGCAACTATTGCAGTTGGACCCATACAAATCATTTCATGCACCCATGCAAAGGCTTTCCTTGTCTACATTGGTACAGCTACCTAGGCTGCTGAAACGGGGGCTAATTCCCTGTGCAGACACAGGCTATTTCTAAACGTCTATTTATCTGCTTCCATGGCCTGCATTACACTAGTATGTGAGTGCTTCATAATCTTTAATGTATTTATCCTCACAACTATCCTCTTCGTTAGGGAAGCGCTATTATCCCTATTTATCACATGGGCAGCTGAGACCCCAAATGACTTGCCCAAGGTCACATCTGGGGCTTTGTGGTGCAGCAGAAGATTGAATCCAAATCTCCCAAGTCCCAAGCTACTGCCCTCACCTCAGAGCACCTGTCTCTGGAGATATTGGAAGGGTAGCTCCTGGCATACACTGGGGGTCTCTGTTTGTATTGCCGCTGGAGGTGCTATATTCCACAGGGAACTGAAGAGACGGCAACCAGCAGCTGATCCCTTTATTTTTCAGTTAGCATTTCAAGTACAGTGTGGCCGGCAAGCGCTGAAACCAGGCCCTCAAGTTTGATAGTTTGCAAAATCCAAGAATGAGGTTACGAAAGCTAATCTGGTATAAAACAGATGCTAAGAACCTGAGACTTCTGTCAGATCTTTCTGATATGTGGCTCCGCTGACGGTCCTGTTTCAGGAGTCGAGAAATTGCTTATTTGTCTTCCCCCCTCCTCGACCCCCTTCAGTTAGTTTCTTTGGAAGGGTTCCCATTTCCTGCTGCACAATGCAAATCAGCCCCTGGAACATCCGCCCATTTCATCCTCTGAGGTTTCCCTGCTTGTGGCACAGAAGAGGAAGCTTGAAACTCCTGGAGTCGGCATTAAACACTTGGGCAAGTTGTAACAGCGTCACATGTTGCTGTTACCTAACTTCCCTGACGACATGTGATTGTCGGACATGCTTTTTGCTGAGGCCTTCCCCCTTTAAATGAATGCTGAGGATTTCTTTTGAGGGAAAGGCCCAGTCTGTCGATATTCACATATTCTTCCCCTCCCCCTCACTGATAAATCATACAAGCCACAGCAGAAATGTGCGCTACTAGTGAGAGAGCATTGATCAGCTGCA